GGATGTTGGTAAGTGTATTTCTGCTCAGTTCTTGCGTCTGCCACGGCAATGATCTCGTAATGGGCTTGAATTCGTGCAATCTAAAATGGCAAGCTTTAAGGCTGCCATGAACTCAGCTCCATCAAAAGTAGCTGCTGCTTATAAACAGTACGCTGAAACAAGAATGGCTGCAATGAAAGCACCTAGTACAATGTCTTTAAAGGTCTTGCGACTCGATTCAGTTCTGCATTTGGTGCGCAACCACCCCAGCCCGCTGATACTAAATTGACAGCAACCACTATTCAACAATCATATAAACAGCAACAAGCTGTCACGACCAGGGTATAAAGTTGACCAGAAATTAATCGGTGTTCCACAAGACAAGGGTAAGGTTGTTGGTAAATCAGGAGTGATTGTTGGTACTGGTTTTGATTTGGGTCAATATAGCAAGAGAGATCTCGAGAAACTTGTATTTTCCAAAGATTTTGTTGACAAACTCTCTCCTTACACTAGAAAGAAGCAACAAGCTGCAAAAGACTTTTTGGCAAAGAAATGTTGAAAAGTTAGCAAAGGAGTAAGAAGCTGCGGCCAAGAATCCAAAATCAATTCAAAAGTTCACTGATCTTCCAGCTGCTGTTCACCGTTGCTTACAGTGTTCACCATCAATATGGTTCCCTTCCAATCATTGGTCTTCTTGCAAGCTGTTTAAGCATTATTATTTTCAATAAGCCGTATTGATGAATCGCTCCTATGTTCAACAAAATGGGCTTGCCTTACAATTTGCCGATCATTACTGTAAAGCAACTCTTGATCTCGTCACTGCTACAGTGAAACAAAATGCACAGTCGATTTGTATCCTTTGATTTAAAGAACTATCGCGAATTAGTGCAACAAGATGGACTCATTTTGGAGTTTGTCATCTGGTGATGGAAGCCGTAACCAGAACGGGTTAGCTCTACAATTTGCTTCATCGAAAGCCAAGATGAGCTCACTCAAGAAGAACCTAAAAAAGTTTCTGTGGTTTCAACACAAGGATATGATCATAATGGGACGTGTATGTGTTCTAGATGTGTATTATTAGCAGAGGAAATGGAACCCTTCTTAATTGAATAAATATTCCTCGTCAAAAGATCCTTCGATATTTTGATAACTTTCAACAAGCTCAATAATAGTTGGATAAGTACACAATGTTCGAGTGTGAATTAAATAGGTGATGTGAAACATTGTTTCTTGTTCAATGAAAGGGATCAAGTAGGTTTGAATAAGCTCTTGTTCTGTTTTGTTTTCTATTTCATGGTTCGGTAAATAAAAACTAATCACTGCATCGTAACCAAGTTCTTCAATATTTGGTCCAAACACTCTTCGATATGATGCTCCACCAACATACGCAACTTGGTCTTTGAGGAAAATTAATTGATGTTTTTTTTCCTTAATGTCTAAAATTATGGAATAGGTGTCAGTAAAATTGACACAAATCCTCTTTTCTTTTTCGAGAAGTTTTTTGAGCGATTGTCGTGCCACTTCCAATAAATCTTCGTCTTTTTCTTTGGAAAATCTAAGAGCGTCATAAAATGTCTCTATTGCTGCAACAATTACATCTCTGTTTTGGTTTTGGAAAGAGGTAGAAGTCCATTGTAATGCATAGGGCGCATGTTTCACTAATTTCAGTACGCTGTCGTTGTCGCTCATCAGCTGCTTTACACATCGTAACGATATGAATGGATCACGTTTGACAGCAAAGAGAATAATTTCCAAATCATCTCTAAACTCTTGAGGAAGCTTTTCAATGGTACATCCTCCAACTATTGCACTTAGAGCTAACTCTTTGTCAATATGAAAATGTGAAGGTACGTTCCCAGGATCGCATCCACGCTCTAAACAAAACTTGACCAAGCTTTTATCCACAGCAATGACATGATGATACTCTTCGGCGGCTATGTATTTCAAAATATTTCCATTCACCTCTAACATGCGCATTAGTATCTGTTTGTCAAATCTCAGAGATTCATGTAAAAATTTGAACGCTTGAGAATTGTTTTTTAGAAATGGAATAATTCGTTCATCTTTTCTAAATTCAGTAGGAGTCTTATCTATTATGTTAATAAAACAAGATTCATACACTCTTGCCAACCTTTCAAAAAATAAAAAATCCGAAAAGCATCGATCGTCTACAATGCTGCCAATGATACGGCAGTTACCAAGGTAACCGTATGGTAACACGTGTTGTTTCTTGACAAATTCATTCATTTCCCAGGGGCAATGTTGGATCATTTCCCCTACCTCAAGCCGTGGATTAGCTGTGCCAAAATTTGATTTTGATATTGTTGAATTTTCAATTCTAATTGTTCTCAATAAATGTAGAGTGTTTTCATAGCTCCAACTAATAGACCATTGGTATAATATATGTTTCAATTGTTTGACAAACACGTATTTGTTTCCATGATTACAACACTTCATCCAAAAATCAGTTCTTCGGTAGTGGCATCGTTCGTAGTCAGGATAATAGAACCCACCATAAAAATTGGCGAAGGTGTGTTCATCTTCATGCAAAAAATTAATAATGTTTCCTCCAATATTGTCAAATATAGAACACCCTTTTTCCCAATTCAATTTAAATAAAGTCTGATGGCCTGTTGTGAAAATAATCTCTAAAACATGGCATTGTGATTGTAGAGCTATCCATTCAGTCTGACTGTTGACCATCTCTGGATTTTGTTGTTTATCTTCAGAAATGTCTGTCTCTTCGTCTTCAGTATCTTCATCACTTTCAGAACTGAGTTCCTCCTCTTCAGTGTGTTCATCATTGGTTCTTCTAAATGGATGCTCGTGTAAAAACAGCCTCAGCAATCGCAATCCATATTTCAGTAACTTTTCAATTTCTTTATCATCCATTTCTGAATTAAATTTTTGTAAAACCGCTGGTATGATTGAATTTCTCCTCTCATCATCAAGGTCGTTCATATTCAAATTCCGAATCAAGAACTGCCATCTTCCGAGCAACCATTCTTTTAAAAACAACAAAAATTTCTTCTTTTGAAAATAATTCAAATACCATTCGGAACATGTAATCATCAACGTTTCACACATGAATCGAGGATGGCAATATGAAAATATTTTCTGTAAAATGTATGGATCATAGCCAAGTAGAACACTCAACGAATGGGAGGAATGGATTTCATTGCGTTCCATTTTTTTGTAATTCGAAATAGGCAACAAAATAAATGTGTCAAACAGCTTCTCTTGCACAACGAAAGTTTTCTGAAATAAACCTCATGATTTAATTAAGCCGAATCAGAAATATTGTAACAAGCATAACAATCACTGAGCATACCAAATGACCAACTGCTCGATGGGATGCAGAAACTTTCTTGGGTATTGAGCGACTGGGCTGTGTTGGTGTTGAGGTTGAGAGTTTTGGACTTGGAGCAACTGGTGGCACTACATCACTCTTTGGATACACCAATCCAATATCATTGAACGGAATTTGTGTATAATTCAGCATTCGAGCAATGGTTGAGTTGGGCAACAGTGTGAAATTTCCATTCTGTGCGTCCACAAATATGGACTCTGGCAATTTAAAAGTGTTGTTTCCATAAATACTATATTTGGTGAAATTTGCAACAATGAAATCTTTTGAAGTCGATCCAATTATAATATTGAATTGAACAGAGTTACCCTTTGGAGCTTGAGGTTCATCGTTTAAAATATTTGGCAATTTTGGATAACTTGAAATCCAAACATCACTCGAGTTGTAAGGTAATGAAAGGAGGCGATTCATACGTGTTGTGGAATCATAAACTCCCAAAAGACCTCTCGAGTCAGCGTGAATGGGTGTTGTGTTGTTAATAAAGATGTTACCAAAAACAATGTTGTCTCTGCCACCTCCCAACTGAAAGCCATTATAAACAGCACTAAAGATATTTCCATACATGGTTATTGAGGAAAGTTGATCATCTGTTGTTGAAAGGTCAGAGTCACAAAATTAAAATAAATAACTCCTCGATAACATACCAAGATAAACTCCTGAGGTTCCCCATAGTCCAGGTCCGTTCACTCTTGCAATATGGTTATATCTGACGACAGTACCACGTGCAGCCCAGTCGGCATAAGAATACACAGCACCTGTAAGATTTCAACACAAAGCAGTCAGTATTTGTTTTCGTTTCAAACGTTTGCACACTTACCTGAATCACCAGTGGTCTTACAAACGTCATGAATATAATTATAGGCAAAATCATGATTGTTTCCTTCCCAAATAATTGCTGCATGGTCCGCGTTGAAAATTTCATTATTTTTGACTGTCACTCCAACACCTTTCAATTCCACCCCCGCTCTATAGGCTTTACCATTTCTCGTAAAATTGTAAATAATATTATTATAAACAAGAATTCCACTAGGAGTCAATGTGATACGATCTCCTCCGAATATATACACAGCCCCAAGACCAGTCTCAAAAACATGGTTCGAAATAAACTGACATCCAGTACAAAAATCAAACGCAACGCCTCTACTTCCAGTATTTGAAATGGTAGAGGAACGAACAACCGTGTAATCGACTTTGAATGAACGTATTGCATAGCCTCGAGTCATTTCAATACGAAGAGATTGAAACTGTTGAGCATGAGCTTGAACATTGATTAAATGATCTGCTGTTGAAATGATAATATCGTCTTGCTCAACAATTGGTCCTGCTGGCCAATAATATATCACATCATCTTGCAATATATATTCACCAGGTTGATCAAGCTCGCTTAAAAAATTCACCAGATAAAATCGTTGGTTGCTTCTAATTCCATAGGTCACATTAACATTCAATTCTGCAAAACCGTCTTGAGTAATAAATTTCAAATCTTCAGTAGAATCAGCCCAATCATGATAGAAAAACGAAAATGCATAAGGACTCCTTTCAAGAGACCATTTGAATCGATTATGAGATACTGTGCTATTAAATTGAAAGGTATTCACTCCGTTCGTTCCTGTAAAACGTAAAAATTGATCTTCTCCGTTCGGAAACTTGTTTGGAAATCTCGCAACAGTTTGAGCTTTTCCTTTGTAAAATAATTCATTGCCAGAGCTCACAAACTTTTTGGAATATCCTGTTTTCACAAATTGGAATATTTGAGATTTGGAAAGTCCTGCCAAGGTCAGGTTGCATGAAAGAACCTTTCCTTGTGCCACTGTTGGAAGCATGTTATATACAGATGGATTATTGGCAACAGTCACTACTTGCCAAAAAGAGGGAGCAAGTGGAAGGCCACCAGTAATTCGAACGTTGCCATCTTCCTTCCCTGGTTTCCAAATGACTGGAGAGTATTGATTATTGAGCTTGGCAGAAGCAGGAATAATCAGCCCATTCGGAACAAAATATCGTCCATCGTCAATTAAGACAGTAAATGTTGTGTTCACAAAGAGTGAATTCTTTGAAGATTGAACAACAGATGCAGCTTTGGAAAGGGTTTTCAAAGGCCATAATGACGAGGTTCCATTGTTAGTGTCCAAACCGTTGGCATTTGAAACATAAATGTTGACTGTTGGATTTTGACCGTCAACGATGGACACAAAATAAGCATGTATCAGGAAGAAAAGAACAACAAGACATGCAACGGGTGCCTTCACAGTTGAGGAAAGCATTTGCATGGTTTGATAATTTTTTGTGTGTGACAGAAACGAATCCAGAGCTTGAGTGTGCGATTGGAAGAATTTGAACGGTGACTCATTCCTTACTCTCATTTCCATTTTGGTGCATCATCAAGAACGTAAGCATCACCTTTAAGCGATTGCGTAACGTTGGCAATACAAGACGTACATGTCAGAAATGAAGCTGAAAACAGGTTCATTTTAGAGAAGAACTATAGAAATCGTTCAAAGTGAAACAAAGAACTTGTCATCGAAAAAAATAACCAAAACAACACAACCTACTCCAGTCACACAATGATTTCAACAAACAACAGTAGCGGAGGTGACAACAAGAAATCCAAATCGTCGTCATCAAAACGTTCCAAACCTCCATACTTTCCCAACAAGGACAAACAATATAGGTCTCCTCCTATCAACCAAAATTCATCTTCCGATAGAATTATTCAAAATGTAGACTTGTCGGATGAGGACTTGAAGAAATTTCTCTTGGATGGATATCTTGTGATAAAACCACAAGAACTTGCGTTGAGTCCACAATGGCATTCGGAATTGTGTCAATATGGAACTGAAATTTTTCAAGAAGATGGAAATTGGTAGGTATTGAATATGTGGTATTGAATATAGGAAGAATTTGTTTACACACGAATGTGTGTCACAAAAACTTACCAGTGGTAATAATATACTCGCAAGAATTCCACAACTCAATGAAATTTTCGAGGATGATCGTGTAAAAAGTATATTGACACGAATTCTTGGAACTGGATACATTATGCAAAGTCACAGATTTTGGCATTACACCCAAGAAGGTCAATTAGACCAAGCATGGCACAAGGATTCATTCTTTGGAAATATAAAACCTCTAAGGCATCATCAATTGAGACATGTCATGCTCATGTACTATCCTCAAAAAACAACCATTCCAATGGGTCCTACTGCTCTTCGTAAGGGAACACAATATACATGCATTGATCCAAAACGTTATTCTGGAAATTTAGCCAATGAATTTTATCAAAAACCATGGAGAAAGGATTCAGATGTTTTCATGGAATGTGAAGCTGGATCTCTATTACTCATTCATTATGATCTTATTCATAGAGGAAGTGCCAATGAAGCACGAGATCGTCAAATGTTTAAATTTCAATTTTCAAGAGTGGTCGATCCACAACGAGACATTTCATTACTCAACAGTGGAAGAGTCATTCCCTCTTTTGAAAATGTTAAAATTGAGGGTCGAGAAAATATGGAGCAAGAACCTCAATACCCGGTTGCCAAATCTATTTGGAATTGGATGCATAATATTCCATTCAAAGCAGAAGAATCCAAAGTGACCATCGCAGAAACCGAGCTAGAAGATGTTCATGAACTGAATCGAATTGCTTTCTGTTATCGATTGGGTTTATGTGGTCAATATGGAACTCTCTTGAAACGTTTGGATCATATCAATGAACAATTTGCTTACAATGCAGCTCATGGTATGATTGCTTGCAGACATCCCAATGCAGTCAAAGCTCTCACTTCAAAGCTCATTAACAAGAGCAGCAGTAATGGAGGCAGCCAACACTCCAACTATGTTTCACTGTTTATCATTTCAGAATGGGGACCACTGGTGGTCGAGAGTTTAGATGATAAATCACTCAAGGAATTTGTTCAGTACCTGAATAAGGCTCGTTTCTCGAGCATGTTCTCCCGAATATACGCAGCAGAGGCACTCGGAAATGTATTCTGTGGCTACCATAGCAACAACAGAGATGATGAGATTCTTCAACTTGCCGTTGAAACTCTTTGTCGTTATTTGGAGAATGATGACGAGGCTCAAGTACGATTTTGGAGTGCTCTCTCCCTAGCAAAGATTGGACCAGTAGCAGCTTCTCCAATGGTAATTACATGCTTGCAGAAGGCTTTAAAGTTTGATAATAATCGATACGTGATTGGATTTTGTCTGGAAGCTCTCGAAAAATTGGGCAGCCCGGAGGCTTTGAGGATACTCATTGGACAATTGAAAGCTTCCCGATGGTGTTATTTGACTCACAAGAATTCATTGTTCTGAGCTTGATGATTGAATGAACGATAAACGTAGGATTGGTCCAATCAATCAATTTTTTATTTTTGAGAGTCATCGCCCTTTCTAATTCTTGGAATGTTACTTGCCCCAAAATAAACGTTTATTATTACTGACAGGTTCGAACCGATTCCACATCAAAAAAATAGCCAACCGTTCATTCTCTCCTCACAATGCCAACCTTGACCGTAACCGTCGTCTCAGGAAATAATTTGGAAGCTAAAGATTTCGGTGGTACATCGGGTATGTTTTTCTATTCGTATACGGCAAATGATTTTGTTAATTAGTTCATTTTCAATGGTTGCTTCACATTTAAAATTTCTAAAAATGGCCTCTTCATTTTGTTCACATGATGATCCATTTACACACACACATTATTGAACACGCATTTTCATTACTTCTCATCATCAACACTTTAAATTGAACTCTTTTCAATGCTTTAAACCAAATTGAAATTAGATCCCTATGTCTATGTCCGAGTTGGATCTCAATCCTTCAAAACCTCTGTCAAACCAACAACACTCAACCCCAAGTGGAACGAACGCTTTACTTTTACAGTGAACAATCCTCAAACTGATGTAGTTCTTTTTGAAATGTTTGATCATGATCTCATTGGTTCTCATGATCCGATGGGTCGTGCTCAAGCCTCACTCAATACCTTGCAACGAGGTGTCCCTCAACAATTATCTCTTCCATTGATGAATGCCAAGAGAGGTACTTTAACAGTTGAATTGGTGGCTCAAGATTTCGGAATGGTTCCTCAACAACAACAACAACAGCCTCAAATGATGATGACTGGTGGATATCCACAACAACCTCCAATGGGTTATCCACCTCAACAACAACCTTATGGTTATCCTCCTCAACAACCCATGATGACCAGTGGATACCCTCCACAGCAACAACCTCAAATGATGGGATATCCACCTCAACAACAACCTCAAATGATGGGAGGCTATCCACCTCAACAGCCACAACAGCCTTATGGTTATCCACCTCAACAACAACCACCCATGATGATGATGAGTGGAACTACGACTACCACAAGTGGCAGTGGTTATTATTATCCTCCACAAACAACGACCCCAGTACATACGACTACTACGACTCATTATCATCATAGCCACAAGTCAGGAAAGCAGGTAAGTTTTGTTTAAAAGTATTTGTGAAGTTGAATAATGACCTTATTGGATACATTGTCTTTTTGTGAATAATATTTCATCATCACCACTGGTATTATTATAGATGAAAAAGACCATGAAGAAAATTGGCAAGTTCGGTAAATTTGGTAAATTCGGAAAGTTTGGTAAGGGTCTTGGAAAATTCGGAAAGAAGCTTGGAAAGAAGTGGTTCTAAGGATTTTCATTGGCTGAAATGTTCATCATCAAGCTTCTCCATGAATGGAATGAAACCTTGCAAAATAAAAAATATTCGTTGCTTAATTGCCGCTTTCACAACAATTCAAGATTGAAGAAGATCAAAAGTGTTGTAATCCCTTCCTGAAAAAAATAGATTAAAGCAGAATCATCATGTCGGACCTGGGAAGTAATATTGGTGTCAATCCTTTAGTGGTAGTGGTTTTGATTTCTTCTTGTTGTAATTCTTCTAGTAAATTTCATCTTTCCGAATTATTGTTGAAAAAGAAATTCTCGGAACAACAAATCGGAAAGAAGAAATGGCTTGAAAATAGAGAATTGAAATATAATGATTTCTTCCCTGTTGAGTTTATGAATGACAAAGGATTTGTATTCAATCACATAAAAAAGTATGGTTATGGATTGAAATTTGCATCAAACGCTCTAAAAGGAGACAAAGAGTTTGTTTTGCAAGTGGTTCAACACAACGGATTTTCAGTACAATTTGCAAGCGATGATATTCGCCTTGATCATCAAGTACTATTGACAGCCATCAAGCAAAACGACATTGCATTATTTTATGCCTCTAACAACATTCGGTGTGATAAACAATTTGTACTGGAAGCAGTTCAAGAAAATGGATTGGCCTTGAGGTATGCTTGTGAAGCATTAAGGAATGATAGGGAAATTGTGTTAGCTGCTGTGAAACAAACTGGTGAAGCATTGAGGTGCATTCCATATGGATCTGAATTGAGAAGTGATAGGCAGGTTATTTTAGAGGCAATTCAAAAACAAAAGCAAGCACTTTGTTATGTAAAAGAAGTTGAACTCCAAGATAATTGTTTCATGTTGAGATTACTCAAATTAATATTTCCAGAATTTGAACATTGGGACTCTTTTGACTACTCAAAGAAAGAGATTATGACCAAACTGGTTCAAGAATTTGGGTTTTTACTTCAATTTGCTTCGAAAGAATTACAAGGAGATAGAGATGTTGTTATGAATGCAGTCAGAAATTATGGTACGTCACTTCATTTTGCTTCAGATGATTTGAAGAAAGACAGAGAAATTGTATTTGCAGCTGTTCAACAAGATGGTCTCGCATTGCAATTTGCCTCCGAAGAGCTCAAGAGCGACAAGGAAATTGTGCTGACTGCTATCGATCAAAATGGACATGCTCTTCACTATGCATCCATTGAGTTACAAAATGACAAAGATATTGTCTTGAGAGCTATTGGACAAAATTTTGCTTCTCTCCAATATGTATCCGAAGAGTTACGAAGCGACCGTGAGTTTGTGTTAACAACTCTACGAGCTCCAAACCGGAAACCTGTCAATGCAGTCATTTTAAAAATTCATTGTCCTTTGCTTTGGAGTGACAAACAGTTCGTTTTGGAAGCGGTTAAGGCTGGGTGTAGAAATATTTGCAGACATGTACCGAGCGAATTTGCTGATGACAGAGAATTCATTTTAAAAGCCGTAAAAGAAAATAGTCTAGCTATATTTGACTCCAGTTATATTGGTTCTGACAAGGAAATCATGTTAGAAGCAGTGAAGAACAATGGCTGTGCATTAAAGTATGCAACCGAAGAATTGCAATATGATTCAGACTTGGTTATGGAGGCCCTTAAATGCAATGGTTATGTTTTAGAGTACAGTGAGGAATTGTTTCAAGAAAGAATGAAACGCTGTCTTTACGGTGCTTACATGGGAAAGAGATTATGACACAATGTTGCAACACCTCTAATAAAATCTGATAGAACGGCCAACACACTTGAGCAAACATTGATGACACAAAATGAAAATTCCCTTGCCAACTGATGAAGTTTAAAATGTCTGATTATTGAGGCCACTTTAAGGATCATCCAAACTTCAAGTTACTGAGGAATATGACAAAATTTTATTAAAGACCAAGAATCAAAAGAGGACTATTTGAAAATTTTAACGCAATAATTTCCATAATCGACAATAAATAGTTTTCCATTCTTGGCGTTCAAACACAAAGAATTGGGTTCGTAAAAACCTTCTAACCTATTTCGTGTGTAGTATCCATTCAAGTCTCCTTTAAATGCTAATAATTGGTTTGGATTTTCTAAAGAAATAGATGATGAAAGAACAACAATACCATGCCATCCAGGTACGCTCGCAATGATATTGCCATTCACAACATCAATGCATAAATGAGTGGGTAAACATAATTCATGAATTCCAGAAATGTGTTGGATGATTTCGTTTGTAGTGATGTCAAGGGTCACAATAGCATGCTCAAAAGTTTTTGGCACAAGTAAATTTCCATTAAGGTCAAACGTGCTACCTGCACCATATGCAAAGTCAATGGTCCTTTTTACAGAGCCATTTTCAAAATCCACTTCAAACATTTCATTTCTACCAGTCACATATATTGAATTTGTTCGACTCATTCTCGAGTTCATAAATGTTGGACTGAATGTATTTCCCATGTCCATGCAAACATGTACAATCACAGAAACATTGTACGTTGAAGTAAAATCCACTTGCCAAACAATTGTTCTTGTTTCAATATGAATCTTGCAAAGAAGATATTCTGAACACACCGCAATGATAAATTCCTCTGTTTCATTCAAACAAAAGCGAGAGGGATATTTGGGTAGTTGAATTTGAAATTTCGAAGGCAAACATTTTTCAATAATGCGAGAATGAGTGCTTTGTGTTGGCAAAGATTCGGAATGATGTTCAAAATGATGATCCAATACATCCAAATCATATGCATAAATAACATCAAGTTCCTCATCATGATTATCAATGTTGTTATTTAAATAACAAGAAACAAATAAGCAATTCCATCTTCTGTAAGATAATGCAATACACAAGGGTTCTTCATGTTCTTCAAACAACAAAATTCCTTCATTCTGAAAAGAAGAATAATTAAAGGCTTTCGGAATGAATGTTTTGAATTGTTGATTATTGAATTTACATTTCAACCATTCCATAAGAGTGAATATATAATGCTCAGATGGAGAAGATGATGTAGCTTCTCGGAAAGAGGTTACATCCTTTTCAACATTTTCATATTGTTGATTCTGATGATGAATAAAATCCACAAGTTGCAACAAGACTTGCATGACAATTTTTTGCAAAATAAAACACTTTCATGAATTTCATCTTTATTGAACCATAGACTCAAGAGGTGGAGCATCCAATTCCTTCCCCAATGTAACCCTTCCTAATTCCTAAAGCTGGATTAAAACTCAGCAAATTGTTCAAATTAGAAGCACAAGATTTCAAATTTCATCCTCAAGAAAATGCCGTTACCTCCGACCCTCCCTCGTAAAGTATCATCAGCCTCCTCTTCCCAACCACCACAACCAACACCATCAACACAACCAAAGACAAATCCAGGGATGATGTTAGCTGAATCTTCATTACCTTCATCGGTTGGTAGTCATCATGTACATTCATCATCGGAGTTGGGAAATACCTCATTAACAGCATCATCAACAGCAACGAAAAGTACTGCTCATCATTCGACTTCCACGGTTTCTAATTGTGTGAGTAATACTCTCCTCCAACCTCCTCATCATGATTCGGGAATGGTTATATCTTCTACATGGATGCAGGAGCAACAACAAAATTCCAAACCCTTGCTCGTCGTGAACCGATCTAACATTCATAAATCGACTAGTTCTATTACATTACCTTCACCGAGCTTTACAACCACCACTGATTCGTCAAAGGACAATTTGGCAAAAGAATCTAATTCTTCCTTCTCAGATGTTCCTTCTAAAACCCACCATCATCACAGCACCGATTCTTTAAAAATCAATAACAATGCGCATCATTTAACGAATAATTTATTATTAACAAATCAACCAGCACTGCCATCCAGTATGGAGACTGTAAAAACCACATTGTCGTCAACCAACAATGCCAATTCAAGAAATCTTCCTCCAATACCCAACACTTCATTACATTCTCAACTTAAACAACAACCATCCAGCCAATCACAGCAGATTGTCAACACAACATCTGAAGACACGAACAAACGAAGACCGTCGGTGAGGCCATTACCTTCCACTGTGACAAGAACAACAAATTCTGCTACTCCAACCATCCCCACTTTTCAAAATTCAGCACTCCAAACCAATTTTGCGTCAAATAACGTGAATAAGACAAATCCAACATCTGTTAACAAACCATCCACAATAATTCCCCCTCTTTTTCAGCCCTACGGAGTGAACAACATTACAACCCAAAACATTTTTGCCGGTGATTCGTTGTCCCAAGTTGGAAGCGACATCACAAAACCATCTAGTTCAACAGTTTCATCCAAAAATCCAACACCTACCCATCAATCATCCCCAACTATTTATTCGAATAGAAATGTTGTGCAAAATTCATTTTCTCCTGCTAGCAATCCGAACACAGTCAAGCTGTCACCAAAACAAAGCAATGACGAACAAAATATTGCCAAACTTCCCACTAAATCTCTTCCTTCTACTCCAACTAACAGGAGTGAAAATGATACCAAAGACGATAATAGATATTCCACACCTCCCTCTTCCTCTACTTCTTTCAAGAAGCCTTCTTCCAACAGCCCAAGAAAACATCACAGAAAAGCGACTACTTTCACATCGTCTCCACTTTTGTCATCCAATGGTGATATCAACACGGAAAGTTCAAACACAGACAATACTAATAATTCCCCAAATATTGGAGGTGACGCTCAAGAAGCCCTTGCCATTGAAAAATTTTTAAGAAATTATATTTTCGATATTATTGGAGACACTAAATTTACTTCTCTGGCAAGTGTGGTCAAATGGATGACTCTCGAAACATTTTACGAAGTTCTCACCAGTTGGTGCGTTATTAATTTAAACTCTAAGAGAGAATTCACAAAGCAAAATAGATTTTTCATTATTGAAGAGCTCAACCGGCATCGTAATGAAGTATATTGCCATTTAGAAAATAGAAAAAATTGTTCAATTCTCTATCATAGTATTAAGAAAAATTTGGAAATAATTATGCAGCAATTGAATACTGGTTCTGACACTATCTCTACATCTATTAAAAAAGATATGGTCCAAGTGATATTTTCCCTTATGAAGATTGATGAATTGACTGCACAAAATACGGAAATGAAAATATCAATTCAGTCCTCAGCAAACGTACTATCCGAAATGACAACAAACGCCATTTCAAACCAATCAAAACAAGAATCCTCTTCGAAATTGAATACTCCTTTAATTTTTGAAGATGACTCAGAGATTGTTAATGAGCATTTACAAAAACCTCCACAGAAGCTTATGTTATCTGAAAAACTGAGCTCTGTCATGGAAACTTTTGAAAAGAAGAAAGAAAACATTGAAACGAAAATTGTGGATAAAACAGAGAAGGTAGTGACAACGTTAGGCTCTTCCCTTCGTGCAACTATTGAAGTCGGACAGGATAAGCTAAAATCCTTCGTCGAAACAGCCAACAGCCTAAAAGGTTCGTATATTTTTTCATAATATTTGTTTCAATGTAACATTGAATATCATTAATCAGAACAAACAAAAATGTCAAGTACAAAACCAGAAAAAATCAAGATCGTGGACAAATCCTTTCGTAGAGAAAAAGTTCTTTCTGGATATTTCTCTGCTGTTGGAACGAGCTCTAACGAACACGCTCCTAAAGTGATTCCTCCACCAAGAAGAAAGAAGAATGTTGTTACGGCTGAGTTTGCCAAACATAGCTTCTTACTGGAATTCGCTGACAACTTTATATCATTGCCTGTATATAAACCTCCTAGAAAAGAAGAAAAAATTGAAGTTCAAGGAGAAACACCAAGAACATCCAATAACGGAAGCATTGACTTTGATAATGACGGTATCAACCAAAAAGTTATTTCCAAAATTAATGTTATTGACATGCTATCGAAAAAGTTCAAAAATACTTTACTGTATTCCACAGTTTCTACTACAGCCATCAGTAGTTTGGCGAATAGTTTGACAACAATTGATATAAGTCAGAACAAAATGACTGATTGCATCAATCAATTTTGCGATGAAATTTTGAACGAAATTACAAAGAGTTTATCTACAACACAGCAGAAAGATATCCTCAACAAACATTTGAAGTTGATGGATCCAAAATTTCAGAAAAAGTTTAAGCTTTTACGATCATTCATTACATTCTTGTGTAGAAACAAGACTTTCAGCACAGCACCTGTCTCTAATAAGAAATCCAAAGATCAAGAAAATTTGATATTTAACGGACAGGAAGCAGTGACTATTTTATCCAATGTTATTGTTAAAAAGGTAGTGAAATCGAGACGAAAAACGATCATCAACGAGGGAGATCAAGTTACTAGAGAATCATTGGCTGCATCTATTACTGGAATTGAACCAGAAGCAGTCAGAAATCAAGCTATGAACTTTTTGCAAGAATTTTTGGACGATGATATTATCAAGCAAACCTTTCCAAGAATGAAAAACAAGACAGCTCAAATTCGTGACGACCCAACTTACATGTATGCATTTTGTGAAGATCATATGTTATACAATTTGGTTAATCAAGAAAGAGAGATGGAGGACCAGCTTGAAGAGACAGAGAACGAGATTAATACATTGCTAGAGCTTATCACAGCTCCGTTTCCGCCATTACTACCATCTTCAACTCAATCCATTACACCCACTCAAACCTATGTTCTCTTCAAGTATAGACGTATTCTATGTAAGGAGCCAAAATTCTTGCTATTGTTATTGCGCTCAGTTAATTGGAAAGGTGATTACAAAACGGGAGAAGAAATACTGGAGCTGATTATTAAGCATCTTAAGGACACTCCTATTAACCAATTTTCCCCACTACACAAAGTGACAACAGTTCACGTACTATTTTTAATGTACGAAACAATCATTTCCTCAAAGGTAGATTTAGAGAGCGTACAAATTTTTGCAACCGAGACTCTGAAACGCAGATCACTAACTGAAATTGAACTATTCTTGCCTCAGTTATTTTACAGCTTGGGCTCAACGAAGTTTAACAAATACTTGTCAGAATTCTTGTTAGAGGCATGTGAGAAATCTGACTATGTGTTTAACAAATTGAACTGGATGCTGACCAGTATGTTGAACTCGAGCACAATTTTCAGCACTGAAAAGACCTTAAATATCAAAGCCAACCAAGTCTACAAGCAATTACATTTCAAAATGATTCAGAAATGTAATAGCTCCTCCGAGGGAAAGTACAATTTAAATCAATTTATTAGACAACAAAAGTTAGTAGACAACATGTTGGTTATTGGAGAATATATCAAATTCCGTCTCGGAAAAGAACTTGGAGTACCAAGACCTCAAAAGATACAACATTTGAAGTCGCTTTTGGCTGCTCAAAAGTTGCCATACCTGCTGAATTTGCACAATATATCGATGAGCAATATTGAAGAATTTATTGCCAACTGCCAATCTTCAGATACAATACAAGTGGACAAGCCAATATCTCCTCAGCTTCTCAAAGAAATGCAAGATGTTGCTAAATTTGTATCTGAAGACTCCAAGCTAAAATTCATAGATTTTCTTGTTGAAAAAGAAAAAGATTTTCATGAATGGAACAATGAAGTGTTTCCGATTGATACTGTACCATGTTTAGCGATTGAAGAACACTTTTCTAACATCAACGAGGCCATCCAAATCTCAGGATTTGTTCCTGATGACGGATACATTTTTAAATCTGCGCAAGAGCCAGTGTGCTTTCCTTTCTCACTTCGAACCCTCTCGAATGAAAATGCTGCTGAATTTAAACTAATTTTTAAGCAGGGAGACGATTTACGACAGGACGAGTATATTTTGAACCTATTCTCACTCATGAACAGAATTCTAAAACAAAATGGAATCAATTTAGAAATTATAACATATCACTGTGTTTCAACAAGTCAGAGTCCAACGAACTCTGGATTTGTGGAGATGGTAAGCCAATCCAATGCAGTGAGCGCTGTTTTGGCCAAGTACAAGACAATCTTCAACTTTTTGCGAGATACATCCTTGAAAAAACAAAAACCTCAAGAATCATCCTCGAACCAGGGCGCGAATTCTGTAGATTTTTACACATTCCTCGAGAAACCAGATGATTCTGAGACACAATTAATAGAATATCATCCAAGTCCTGTGGGTGATGTTAACACGTTATTGTTCGATGAAAAAGTTCACAGATATATTCGTAGTTTAGCTGGATACAGCATTCTTACCTACCTTCTCGCCATTGGAGACAGACATTTGGATAACTTGTTATTGAAAGAGAGCGGCGAATTATTTCACATTGATTTCGGTTTCGTTCTTGGAGAAGATCCAAAACCTTATCTGGGAACACCACCCATGCGTATTTCTCGAGAAATGGTTGCTGATTTTTCAGATGAACATTTATCTGCTTTCAGAATGTATTGCTGTCAGACCTTTAAAGTTTTGAGAAAATATGCATCCTTAATCATTTTCATGCTTTTATGGATTTCTACTACCAACATGACCATTAAGGAACAAGGAAGTATTACAAGAATTGATAAATTAGGTCTCACAGTTGGAACTGGAAATAACGTACCACATGTCATTCACAATCCTCTCAAACAATTTAATTTGAAAAACGTGACCACCATCCAAACCAATTTTCGTTTGGATCTACACGAAGATGAACTCGACGATTTCGTCTGCAAACTCATCGATCAAAGTCTAAACATGCTTGGTCCAAAGGTAAACGAAGAAATTCACAAAATTGCCATGAAATTGAGAGAATAAGACAAATTCGTGTAGAACTTTCCATGTGAAATGAAATCGTTCGTTTGTGGTATTGAGATTAAACATTATTGGCCTTTCCATATCTAGAAAAAAAATGGCAACATTTCAAGTTCAATTCTTACTCATGGTCCTAGTGATCCTAATGATGATGATAGCCTCTTTTACTCTTGCTATCCGAATCCATGGACTTTCTATCAATAGCAACAACAAGAATCCACAAACACCTATTTCCGATATAAAAACAACAACCTCCCAACTCACTCCCGGTTTTATTTTCACTCTCCAACAACGATCTCTCAATTATATGGCTCAACAACTTACTCCCAAAATTCAACGTGAATTGAGTGATCATTTAAACATTCCGGATATTGATCAAAATGTGGATACTCCCGTTGGACACGTTCAATTTCAAGTACAGAATATTCAAGTGAGTCAATTGAGCTTGCAAACTCCGAGTGTGGTGATTGGATCGGATCAGACTTTGATGTTGAATATTCCTGGAGTTCATACTCATATGCAAGCAGTAAGTAGGGAATGTGTTTGTTCATCATGATGTGGATGGAATTATAATTTGAATTTTGTGAAACTTTACCTGGTTGTTACAACCACCAAAAGGATTGGCATTATCGTAAGACTCATTGGCCTCATGTTTCTGATCATGGATCTGTAGATGCTGATATCACAAGTATGTTTTCAAACCTTTTTTTTGTAATTTGAACAAGTTTAAACTCATTGAATTCTCAATCTGAAATGTTAAAATTCAGTTTCAGTATCGATTGGAGTGAAAATTTCAATTGTTGATGCAACTCATTGTACAGCACAAGTGACTAGTGTACAAGCCTCCTTTTCTGAATTTAACTTGAAAATGCATGGAGGTGCTAGTTGGCTCTACAACTTTTTCATTAAGAATTTTAGACATTCTATTGAAAACGATGTGATCAAGCAAGTAGATGTAGATGTTGCTCGTGCAGTGAATACTGCTCTTGCCAAGGCACTTGATACAATCTCTTTACAACATGATTTGGGTCATGGAATTGTTGTGGATTATTCATTGAGAAGTTTGGATTTTTTGGCGTCAGTGCATATGGCTGTTGGAACTACTGGATTGTTTTATATTCCAGGAAAACCAGTGTATTCAAATGAACCAACTCCAATGAGTGACAGTTTGGGAAGTGACAAGATGATTGAGGTTTTTATTAATGAATTTGTGTTAAATTCGGCCATGTTTGCGAGTAGCCAAGCTGGAATTTTAAATGCCTTAATTACTCAAAAACACATTCCATCTACTTTTGATTGGGTTTTTAACACAAGTAGTTATCAAACTTTGATTCCAGGAATTTATGCAATTTGTAGTAATTGTGAAATTCAAATTACAATTTCGAATGGAATTGCTCCAGTTCTAACCTTGGATCCAAGTGTTGGAATTGAGATGAACGCTAACGCCCAAGCCATCTTCCAAATCATTCAAAATAATCAAAACATTGTCAATGGTTTTGCTTTGGATTTAAACATACAGTTGGATGTCATGCCGTCACTGGGCCAAAACAACATCTCGTTTGTATTCACTTACAAGAATGCATCCATTCAATTGGCATACTCCAAAGTGGGTACATTTTCAGTGCAATTCTTCTCAATGGCCATTGAAGCAGCTCTAAAGTATGTGGTCGTTCCAGCAGCAAATATAGTCGGAACGAAAGGTGTTCCACTTCCACAAATGAAGGATTTAACTTTAAGAAATGCAGAATTTGGTGTCGAGCAAGGATATTTGAGTTTGCGGTCGGATTTTGTTTATCAACCATCCTTCACTCCAAAGAAAAATTTGCGTTCTCGAATCGTGTCACCTTAAAGAATCTTTAGAACCATTTTATTGGCCATTTCCAAATTGTACTCATGCCATTTTGACATCAGGAAAGGTCGATTCAATAAATCTCAGAAACTTGGTTTGAACTGCACGCCCTTCCTCTCCCTTAATGGCAATACTTGTCCAATTCCAAAATATTTGTGACATGATCGTGGAATACTTGCCATCAATTTTAAATTGACATTCTTTAGGAAGGGTGTTCAACACCAGTTTCAGTCCTTCCAAACTGTAGTTTCCAAAACATAAAACACTCATCAAGAAATACTGGAGTGATGATAGTTTCTTTCCCGTTTTTTCCATAATGATATGAATGGCCGACAAGTATTCGCTTTCTGGAGCATAAAACAGGTCAACGAAGGAAGACACTCTATTATCATAACATATTTCATAATAATGAGAATGACCTGAAAGAATCATGATTATTTGTCGATCAATGAAATGAAGGTCATTTTGAAGTACGACTCCATTTTCCAAGAGAAACAATACCTCACGAGTTTTGTTACCATAAATGCCAGCAGTCAGTGCATACTCGAGTAGTGAATGGCCAAGCTTTGGATCTACTCCACATTCATCAATTAGGAACTTGAGTAATTCAAAGGTGTCATTGGGATTGACAACCAAACGTTCTAAATTTTTCACACTCGAAAATGTGAATCCCATTTCTAATTTCATACTTCTAAAGAATTCCAAATACTTTTTCAAACTCATTGATTGCTTGGGAACAACAGTGGTACTAGGTAACGAAAAAAGTAATGGAGAGAGTGATTCTTCTTTGAAACCTTTCCAACGAGCAATTCCAATGTCACACAAAAAGAATTTCAACCATCCCTTATTTCCAATCGTTGCAATGTTTTCATAAATAGTAGTGGCATGTGGTTGGATCATGAGAGGGAAAAAATCACGTCGTCTCACGCGTTTAATCAAAGAGATCAGTCGTTGTTGAAGTTCTTCGTAATTCTCATGAGGTTGAGACAATTGTGCCAAAATGGAAGAATCAATCCATTTAACGTTGGATGGAAATTGTTGAATCTCCATTTCTAATAGTTCAAGAAAGGTGATTTTGGAATTACTACATGATGTATGGACATGTTTCAGCAGAAAACCCATGTCAATTTTCAATAATACATGTAAAGCAGAACACAAGCTTGCATGTCCTTCCAATATCAATTTTTCAATAATGGGGCTCAAAAGATCCATCGTTCTGTTATCATGATGACTGAATTGTAAATATTGAAGACATAAATTTGTCAATAACATTGCATTTCCCAATGGAATTTCACATAATTCTTTAGGAGATTTTCCAAACGGCTTACTAAATAGATATGGAATAATTTTTTGAGACCAAATCATTAATATTTTGTTGAGAGCTTGCAAAAAAGGTGATTCTATAGCAATAGCTTGACATTCCAATAACATGCTCTCCATGGTAAATTTAATTCGTTGTAAAGCACGTCTTTTGAAAAATTGAATCGTTTCTTTTTTGTAAGTCGTTCCATAAATATCCATATTACAGAGACGTCTCTTCTCCATCGATTGTTGTTTTACAATATAAATTTCATTGATTTTTTCTAAATATTTCAAATATCGTCCACGATCTCGACGGAATAAACTTGACTTGTACAATAATTTAAAACGATAACAATTAGAATTGTCAAAATAATGAGATGGATGAATTAAATAATCTACTTGTTGTTCTTTTTCATCATGATCCTCACGATGATGTTTGGAAAAATTTTGAAATTCAAGTTCCAATTCTTTCTGCAGAGTTTTCATCCAAAACATTTCCAGAGTCGTGATGTGGTACCAATCTTTACAGACAAGCATTAAATTAGTTAAATATTGATTCGGACTGCAAAAGGATGTAAAAATATGAAAAAGAACATCTTGCGATATTGGCGATGACATTTTGTTTCGATAAAACCTTGTTCAAGTTTTGTAAAGAAAATTCATGCAAATTCGAATTGCGATCCCAAATCATAAGTCTTGTAATTTCAAAGTAAAAGGGCTTACACAAGCTCATTTATTGTCACATTCGCCCGCATGTCGATATCAAGAATTATTTTCATCCTCACTGATTGGTCCTTCAATTGCTTCACTTTTGAAATACTTTCATCCTTAAAACACCTTGTTTTCAATTATAACTTGGTTTGGTCAGCCATAACAAGCTCAGTGGTCTACCAAATAGTTAAATTTTGCAATTCGAGTCATTATTTTCTTTTCTTTGATTTTTGAGAGCTCTTCTTAGAGGAAGTTTGTGTGGAATGGTTGCTTGAAGCGACGGATGAAGAGCCGCCAAGCTGTGGAGATCTTCCTGACGAATGAACGCTACTGCAATTGAAAGGTATAGAATCCTTAAATTGATACCGTATAATAGCTGATGATGTAATGCTAAACTTCTTTGAAAAGTGTTTTCGGTTGTGCATGGCAGTCTCTGGCCATTCTTCACTATTGCAATGATCAAAGGCAACATTACAAAGCAATGTAGAGGACGAGTCATGCCATTGAATGGATAGAGGTCGACCATTCCCTGTGGACAGCTCATACAGTGGTGCTTGCATTCGTAAATCCCAGCAACGTATTGACTCGTCATTTCCTGCACTCCACACAAATGGTATACCTCCCACGAGAGAAAATTCACATGCTTCCACTCGATCTGCATGACCCTGAAATTTTAAAATGGGCGAAACTTGTTGTCGGTAGTCAAATAAATACACATTGTGGTCGGCACTGCTTGCTAGTAATACTGATGCCGAAGTTGGATCAAAGCAAAAGTCTGTCACTGTACTTCCAAAACCTACAAATGGCACATCATAGAATCTATTTTCCATGAACACTGAAAATATTACATTGGATGATGCAGTAAATAATGTTCGCGTCATTGGATGAAATTTCATCATGTAAATGCTTCTGTTGTTTTCATAAACAGGAAGCTTGAAACCGTGTGAAGGTTTTTTGGTGTATGGGCTATAACAATAGACCACATTTTGTGAGGTGTCAGCAACAGCAACTAAACCATCCAGAGTTGCAACAGCACCAAATGACATGTTATCATTGGATGCATTGATGGTAAACTCTTTAGCATATGATGGTTCCAATTGAGAATTTGTGCTAATCTTGTAACTGTTAAGACTTTTTGGAGACGTCACTAGTACTGTGTTTTTCTTAATGTCAATACAATAGCTATTGGCGTTTTTGGAATCGGCAATTCTCGTGAATTTCATTTTGCCAGTAATCCCTCCAACAGTTGCCATCACTGATTCTGCCCTTGTCACAAAAATATCTCCACTCAACATTCCTTTTCCTAATTCAAATTTCGAAGAATAAAATTCATCTAATTTTTCACATCGTGCCTCTGCTACATTTCGTGCTGGTGCGTTATTTGCATAGGTTAATTTCATTTCTTCCCTTCGAAAATCAATTTCTCTGCAGAAAACAGCATAAGGCGAAGAATTCTCGTTTGGCTTGGGATGTTTTGAACCAGATGTTTCCTCAATAATTGAATTTTGTTTTTCACTCACATCTTCCAGTCCCAGCATTAATTGCATCATTTGTGCTGCTTTAATTAAAGTGGTAGAAGTCAGGGTTGAAGAGGACAGTTTTGTTTTGATAGTATTCATAGTTAGTTTCAAATCTGCATACATGGAACCATCATTGTATTCATAAACTCCATCTATATAATTTGAAATAATTTTCGTTAAATATAATTGAACTTCCTTCATTCTCTTCTCGCAAAATGGCTTAATGGATTGAAGAAACACATTTTCCATTTGAGTTCGTTGGGTCTTTTTATGAAGCTTGTCCACTCTACTATGAATTTTCATTTGATACTCCCATTGTGCGTCCAAAGCTTTGGTTAAAAATTGAATTCTTCCAATAATATATTGTTCTCTTTCCTCATCGTACTTGTGACTTTCTGGATCGTATTTGCTAGAAAAATTATGAGCAGCACAATTCCAAGGATACTCGCTTGTCAACAAGTAAACGAAAAGAGGAATATTCTTCGGACCACAAGTCAAATGAGAAAATAAGCAAGGAGGATAAAGAACATAGGGTAATGCTAGTGTGTTCCGCAGTACACTGTCAATATCAATTCTGGGATCTAGGGGTGGTGCTTTTTGTGGTTGTTGTGGTTGTTGAGAAGAGGTATTTGTACTTGATGATGATGATGAGGTATTTGGGTCAGTGAGAGAGGATGGTTGTGAGGCAGAATTTGGAGGTGGCTGTTCCGATGATTCAGTAGAGGAAGAAGAAGATTGTAATGATGAAGGTTGATCTGTTTGGCCGTTCTGATGATTATTACTATTATTATTATTTGAAACTGGATCTGAAGAAGATGAGCCATCGTGTTGTGGCTCCGAAAGAGAAGACTGATGATGAATACCATCTTGATGATCATCATCCACGGGATCCTTATTGGATAGTAACAACGGGGAGAGTATGGATTGAGTAGGTATCTCTTCAATGACTTCTTCCGATGACGACACCGAAGATGAAGTCGATAACAGAGTATTGTTCCCATTCGGCAGAACAATTCCTTGTTCCAACTCTTTGGAATATGATGTTTTTACTTGTTCATTATGATCATCTTCACTTTCATTCATTCTTCCTCCGATAGGAAAGGGAGAGAGTTGATGAGAGAAGGTCGGGGGTATGGGAAAGAAATACGAAGGAAATTGCAAAAACACCAGAAAATTTTAGACAATTCATAACTTTCCCATGCTTTCCGAATGCTTCAGCCTCTTTCTCGGTATTTCCAATCAGTTTTGCAAAATTCCGAAAATTTGAACGGAAATTCATAAAACGTGAAGAAGCAAACGGAATCCTCAGTCAAAAACAGATAAAAAAACAGCAGCACACCATGGAGAAAAATTGTCCTATTGCAACACCAACATTGATGCATTTGCGTTCAATCGTCACATTCCCAAATGCTATCATCAGTCATGTGTTGCCAATGAAGAGATTCCACTGTGCACATGTTTGATATGTAAAGGAATAAAGACACATGATGGTGATTTTCTCCACAAAATACAAAATTCAACCACTCCCCATAAAAGAAGGTCTGTAACGGCTCCAGCGACATTGGGATCAATGTCTCAAACACAATCCTTAGGGACTTTCAGCGAAGATGTCTCTCCAAAGCTTCATCCTGATAAACTTAGCGGTAAAGAATGTATTTGTTGCACCATCCGTACGGCTGCCAAAGGATTCCCCAAAATTTACGTCGGAAAATATCGAACACTAATACTATGCAAGAAATCTCATGCTCTGGACAACACTGAGAATAAAAGATTGGCTGAAATGATTGACAAAATCAATGATGAGGTCATTTCAACCAATGATTCAAAGCAGTCAATTCTTGATGGAGAATCTGATGAAGAGAATGCTATTGAAGACGTTATGTGTAGTGGTTGTAAAAATGTTGACTCTTCTTCAATGTGTGGCGCTGTTTGTAAGGGAACCCTTTACATTAAGGAAAAAAAAGGTCAAACCGAGTCTAATATTTTTTTCTGTAAAGGTTCTCACTTAATCAAATACTTGGTTCGCCATTATTGCTCCCATAAATCAGGTAAAAAGAAAAAAACTAACCCCAATTCATCCGTAACTAACAGATCATCCAAAAAACGAACCAAAGATCAAATTATTGATGAAAGTGAAACGGATGATGAATGTGAGCATGATGTAATTGAAACTCATACCACTCCAAGTAAGTTGATCAAAAAATAAATTTTTCTAATATTTCAAATTCTCCTCATGTTTTCGAAGGTAATTTCACTCAGTATGTCATTGATTGCAATGTAATTCATAAAATTACTGGAATATGTGAAAAAGGTTTTCATGAATTAATCCAATTGAGAAAGCAAACACGACTCAATGCGTTAGGAAGACCAATAGAAATTCCAGTGGAAGATGAAATTATGATAACACTTACACATTTGCGGCAATATTGTACGGACCAATTTTTAAGTTGCATTTTTCAAATTGAAAAACGAGCAATAACCACTATAAGAATTAGAGTTCTTGATTGGTTGTATATCGAGCTAAAACGTTATATATGTATGCAAACCTTGCAATTCAGAATGGATAATAGTGAAGAATATTTTAAGCATTTGATTACCATAATAATAGACGGATCAGAACAGCCTGCATTTTGTTGTGATTCCGCAATTTTGGATTTTGAATTCTATTCTGCAAAAAAAAACCAACACAGCATCACAATCCTGATGGCAATGACTCCTTCTGGCCATATTGGATATCTTTCGCCTTGTTTTCCAGGAAGAGTTAATGATAATGAATTGTTCAACAAAACCTCTTCTCATTGGTTGAGTGAAATGGATGCATCAGAATTCATTTTTGGCGACAGTGGTTTTAAAGGGCTTCCTCGTGTAATTACTCCTCCAGACGACCCATCCTTGCGCAAAATTTTCTCTAGTGTTCGTATTAGAGTAGAAAATAAGTTCAGGGAAATCAAGATATTCAAATCTTGCAAAGAACGAATTAGAATCAAAACCCAAAGCAAAACTGAAGTATTACGCATTGCTCATATGCGATGGGTAGTTGTTGGTGCTTTTTGCAACTTAAATTGGACGAGATATAGTAATAAAGACTTTGAAATGTCTTGATTATAAAATCCGATGGAATTTAAAAGAATTTAACAGAATCCGAACAAATTTGAAAGAATTTGAAAGAATTTCACAAATACAACAAGACGAAGCATTTTTTTTGATGATTCTTTGAAATTTGATGGAAGAGCAAAGAAAGCTTTGGAAAAGAACAGACAAAATTTGCCAAAAATTTCTCATTTCGCCTTCGTATTTCTCGCCCTCGTCTCGGCGATGATGAATTCAGTTCATCCTCTTCCGCATCGCGTTGTAAATCTTGTGTTTGCATTTTTTGGAATTATTTTATTTTGTTTTTCAAATCCGATTAAAGGGAACATTGAATATCAAAACCAAGGTTCAGGAAGAGTTCTTTGAAAAGAATCCTTTCATTGAAAAATGTATTAATTGAAAGTATCCCAAATACCTCGTATTGATTTATGTTTGAATGAATAGGGAACTTGAAGGCATCCTCTTAACATTTTTAAAATGTCAATTCCCTGATATTGAAATCAGCAGCAACATGTGAAAATACCATTCAACAACAAATTGAAAGGCTATTATTAAAAAAAAGCATCAGAAACAATCGTTGCTTACCATCATGACTCCTAAAATTCCAGCAATTTCTCCCAACAATCCTTCAATCGATGAAGTATACATTTCTGCATTGTTGTGTTCTGTTAATGTGTTGTAAGTAAACGAAATGACCACAGTATTGTCATCTCGTTGTGTTAATTCCACAAGTGAAAGAATAGATTCCTTAATAAGAAAAATAAAAACACATCCATGAATCATTTTAAATAAAAATCAACTTCTCGACTCCAAAACATACCCATCGTGTATCTGTTAAATTTGGATTTTCTATCGATGGTTTCAATCGGGTGGTCACAATTTTAGTCAAAACAAAGTAATTATCTACATTTGCTACTGCAAAATTTGTTTCAGCAAAGACGTTGGGAATAGTACCAATTTCATGAAAAGATACTTGTAACTATTCACGAGTGGTTTGGTCATAAAACACGTTAAAAGATGATTAACACAAATGAATTCAACGGAAGAAGCACTTACGCCAAACCTCGCGTCACGTTCCTGTGGAACCGATGGCACATCAAAAAACAATGAAATAACTCCACCGTATCCAGTTGCATTAGAAGTCATCACTTGATCTGAAAAGTTATTAAATACGTAGCATCGATAGAGTCCATTTTGTTCTATTTCCTTATATTCGTATGGTATTTCAAACTCGACCACATTTCCATCAACCACTCGTGTCGCTGTTTTTAAGGTTAAATCACAAAAATCACATTCATAATATCCATTCCAGTTACAAATGGTGACAGCTGGCAATTCGAGTGGAACTTTCTCAACAATCGAAAGAGCTGTCGTTGGATTATTCTGAGAAGTTTGAAATTCTCCTGATGCGTTCACGACATACCAAATACAAAATACAATGGCCAATACCCATCCGATGCTTGTGACAATTTCCGGAATGGTAATTGGAATTTTGAACTTGTTTTTTGGAATACTATTCGAGGCAATACTGTTATTCTCATGGTCACTCTTAGGAGTGATCGTATCAGCGAGAGCTGGCGATTGAGGAGTTGATTTCAACTTCAAATCGTTGGTTGTTTCTTCATTGTTATTGACAGATATCCTGCTTGATGGGTCTTGAGATTGTATTGAACCCTCTTGAGACATTTTTTGAGATTTCATACAGAGCGGGAAGATACTTGGATTCACCTCTTGGTGATGATGGATCTTATTGGTTTTGAAGGACAGCTTGTTTGAAAAGTTCTTGAGTTCAAGATTTGTAGTTGAGATTTAGCGAGAGCGGGTATGTTTGATCAAAACAAGAAACCATCCAATCAGTACTATATCTCAAGTTGTCCATGATATGGTCAATGAAAAGTCTTCTTCAATAACAACGATGTGACAACTGCTATTCCCTTTCCAAACCACTGAATTGGCATGATATTTTCTTTGGCTTGACATTTGACATTGGCCAAAAAAAATTCATTCTTTTTGTAAACCGTTGCAGCAAGCATTCCTAAACTAAAAGACAATTTAGGGCAGACTCTGATATGCTTGTAAAACCTTTAAAAAGTGTTGGTGTTGAGCTTCATTTCTTCTCATCAACAAAACAAAAAATGTACAAAAGAATTGTATTGTTATGCACAGTACTCTTGTTGGCAGCAGCTGTTGTGATGGCAGCTGACACAACCAGCTCAAAGCCTGTTGATACTTATGGCGAGCATAAGCAGTTTTGCTACAAGAGATGTAAAACATATAAAACTGAAAAGGGAAAGTGCAGTGATTATGAATGGAGAGGAACCACCAAGAAATGTTGTGCTTGGAAAGTTGTTGGTAAAGGAAAGTGTTTGAAGTATAAGAGATACAGCAAGGTAAGTTCAAATCTCTTAGTACTTGTGAATTTAGAATTCTGATTCTTCATTAAACGTTGTTCATTCTCAACAGTGCATCTACAAATCCAAGCCCAGAAAATTATGTTTGGGTCATGGTTACAAGCAAGTGTGTAAGCCAAAGAAGGAAAGATATTGCGTCAAGTATGGATGGAAGCACCAATGCGTTGGAAAGGGAAAGAATCACCACTGCGCCAGATATTCTTATCACTTCATTTGTTCCAAATATGATAAGAAGCACATCTGTGCAAGCTACATCAAGATTCCAAAGACTAAATATTACTACAAGACCAAATGTATCCATTACAAGATCAAGGCCAAATGTGACTCCTACAAGCAAATCTGTAAATGCCAAAAGAAGTGGAAGAAGGTCACCAAGAAGCACTACAAGGGATGGTACGATACTTATCATCGTGCTTTCTGTATCAAGAAGTGTCACTCCATTTGTAACAGAGTGGTCAAGAGAAGATACTGTGTTGCTCACAAGAAAGTTCGTTTCGCTCGTCCAAAGGGTTATATCAAGAAGTGCAACAAGTTTGTTTTCAGAAAGTTCTGCGTTGCTCAAAAGAAGGCTCGTTTCTGTACCAAGTGGGTTAAGACTAAGTTCTGTAACGCTCGTAAGAAGGTCAGATACTGCAAGATTCACAAGTATAGAAGATTCTGTAAATACTACAAATCCGTTCCATTCTGTACTCAACATCATACTACCAAGTCACGTTGTTTGAAGAGAAAGTACTGGAGAAAATGTACCCATAGATCCTACGGAGTCAAAGTCTGTAAGAAGTACCAATTCGTTGGTGGTAAATTGCATTGTGCCAAGAGAGGTTTGGTCAATAAGTGCACGGAATATGAGACTAAGTGTTCTCCAATTCAAATCGACAAGTATGTTCCAAAGAAGAAGTAATTTTGAAGAGACTTGTTGGAAGTTTTGAGGCATTTCAATGCCAATACTTGCAAAATCGTCAAGAGCGGCAATTTCTTGTAAATAAACATACATTTGCCTTCTTTACAAAATTCAAGGTGTAATTGCGTGTTGTTCGATCAAGAAAGGAGGCTTCTCTTAATTATCAGAATGAGAATGACTGAGAGTTTGTAATGAAAGCGATTTTGCAGCCCACATCTCCTTCAACAAATCATACATGACCAGAATAAATGTTCCACTTGTTCTTCTGGCTAAACACTCCACGAGTGCTCCCTTGAACAGGCTAGAGACGCCATGTCGAGAAACCATTGTCTTGATAGTTTGAACAGATGACATGTATCCATCGGAATTTTGTGCATTGCCAGTCATGCTTTGCAAGATCATCTCTTTTTGAATATTTAAAAATGGTATCGAAAACAGTACAGAAATTGAGGTGGCACATTGGGCAATCAATAATTTGGAACAAATTCCATAAGCATCCCATTGATTCTTGAAAGGATTGTTCACATTAAGAGAGTCGTACACTCCAAACAATAAACCTCTGCTTGTGACAGCATTCATCAATCCAATTCCAAATCCTTTGAAAAGAGAAGAAAAGCCACTCGTACTCACAACAAAATGTACCGGTCCTTTAAATTGGCTCACAACACGATGCTTGCTAAGATAGGTAAAGTACCTCATTTGGGCATGCTCAAACGGATGCAAAACCACATGTGATGCTGCTCCAGCCAACGCTCCTGCAGTCAAGTTGAGAATCAGCTGGTTCTTTTCATCATGTTGACGATTTAAATTCAATATGACTTGAGATGATGCCAGAATATCTTTACACGTATCCTTCAAAGAAAGCGCAAGTGCTTGAGCAGGAGCAAATTTTGTAAGGCACGACGAAAATCCTGTGGTCAAACCTTTTGTGCATTGATAAATGTATCGCGAAAGTGTGATAGATTGGCCATTCCATATAGGCAGAGTTTGTTGTAACGGTACTGAAAGCGTTCTTCCAAATACTGCAGCCACTGTTCCAACAGCAAAGTTGGATGGCAAACTCGTCATCAGTTGAGGTACATGATGATTCATGTAGAGGCCGCTTGGTGAAGAAAGGCTTTCTTTAACGTCACCATGCTGATGATACTGTGCTGGTAAATATGGGCTTTCTGTGTGATGATCATGATGAAGATCCAAAGGCTCATCGTGATGCTTATCCGAAACTACGGATTGAAAGAGAACATTAGAATTCTTATTCTTGGTATGATCCATTTGTCTATGGTCAACGTTGTAGTGTTCGTGGAGGATGTAGTAACGAGGCGTTTTCAATACAACCAGCTTATTAGGTCAATCAAGCCTTTTTGTTTGTTGAGAAAAAACTAACAAATTTTCCTTTTGCGTCAGTTGTTCTTTTTTACCCAAATATGGATCATTGGCAAAACGTTCAAAGAGATGTCTGGCAGTTTTTTTCTTTGCCCAATGTTCAATGGCTTTGGAATGAGCTCTTAGTCCATTCTTTTGTACCACTCTAGTCTTCCCTTTGCATAGGAGAGAAAGTCAAATTCTAAATTTGACACATTGCTCTGAACGATTGCCCACAGACCCCAAAACAAATGTGACAATTTGCAGAAGAGTGGTATGGATTTGAGAAATTGTTTCACATGGTGTTGAGTAATTTCATGACTGTGGGCAGTGTCAACGAAAGATTTCAAATATTCATAGACAAATGTTTCTTGAATTTGTTGAGATGGAAATAGACTTTCGTCCATTTGAAAACCACAATATTCGTTAAAGTGATTTCCAATGTCAAAACCTCTGTAGTTGTATCCACAATATTCACAATCTATGAATTGCACTTTTGTGTCAATCGCATCTTCTCTCGCAATAATGTTTAAAATTACCAGGTCGTTGTGACAAAATCCAATGGTAAAAGGGTCGATCACTTGATCTAGATTGGTTGGATCTGCAAGTTGTTGCTGCGAACTGTCGTGACCTTTTTTCATGCCAAACGAAGCTGAATTGGCAATTTCTTCTACATCATTGCAAATTCTTTGAAAATCAATTTCTTTCTCAAATTTTCGCATAACTTTTTCATCTTTCCATTCCATATTCTTTACAAGTTCAACCCATTTCCTCAAACATGTGAATAATGAAGGTGAAATTTGAGAGTTGGTGTAGTGGTCTTGAATTTTCAATTTGTGCCACTCGGCTAACTTGTGAGCAATCTCCTTGCAATACAGTGTGGCATCCTGTGCATTCTGCAAACATTTTCCTTCAACATATTCATAAATAAATCCATTTTGAAATACAGCATAGACACGAGAGCCTACTCCTCTCTTTCCCAACTCGATCATGTGATGTAATTCCTTTTTTCGGTCGATAAGCCTCTCTGTTTCCAAGCCATTAATTCGTACGAGAATGTTGGTATGGTCGGAAAGTGTAACCTTGTACAATCGATTGGTGTTTCCTCCCGTTTGTCTTTGTATCTGCAAATCCGATGATAACTTATTTTGCAGAGAAAACACTCTTTCAACGAGTTGTTTAATTTCCAAAATTAATTCATCTTCCTCCCTATTCATCATGTCTATTTTGTAATCATTGAAAAATTGAACCGATGATTCATCAAACAACAAATTTTGAATTTGCCCATCCTGAGCAATGCTTTCGTCGTCGTTGTTGTTCTGTACTAGATTCATGAAAGACGCGGCACAGATGAGTTTTTCAACAATCAAATGATATTTTTCTTTTTTGTTGGTTGAAATTCAAAAGGTATGAAAGAAAGCAAGCCGTATACCACTCGAATATGAAGAAAAGAACGGGCTATTTGAAACAACAGAATAAAACCTTCCTTTTGGGGGCGTTAAGGGATTTTTCATTTTGAAACAAAAATCAAAAAAAATTATCTATTGATTCATCGCACACATTAAATCATCACACGTTTATCGCTCTCAACAACGATGAGAAAGAATCTTACACCCCTTGATACTTTATCCGTTAAATCAACATCTTCTCCTCAACAACAACAACATGGAGATCATTTTCAACATCCAACAACCACTCCAACACTCAAAATGCCTCGTTCCGAGTCTCAATCATTTCTGAATATTGCTGATACGAGCTCGGGGGAGGTAGTGAGCACCAATTTCAACACACAACCATTTAGTGATAAGGCTGCTTGGTTTATTTATATACTTGTGTTGTTTTTGTCTTATTGGGCTTTGTTTTTGGGATGTTTGATTTATAGCAAAGCAATTTCATATTTGAATGGTAGGTTTGTGTAAAGGATAATATCATTTTAAAAACTAATAATAATGCTATTTACAACAATCATCAAAATACGTATGAAATTATTTTCACCAACTCGGAATTATTGTGATGAAAAATTTTTGCTGTGATGATTCTAATTGGAATTGGATCATCAATTGATTCATTCGAATCATGGCAATTGAAAAATATCACATTATCCAAAATTCACACAACAACTCAATCAGATTCAATGATCAATGCCACTATTTGGACAGCTTTGAATTGTCTTCATTCCATTTGCACACTGATTCTTTTTCACTGGAAGAAAGGATCTCCCTACGACCTTTCCATTCATTTACAGGATCAATCAAAATTGACTTTTTGGGAACAATTGGACAATCAAAAGCAATTCACTCCTACTCGTAAATTCATGTTTGCTATTCCATGTGTATTGTTATTGCTTACGTCTTGGCATGTTGGAGACAGCCTCGCCTTATTATTTGTGAATTTTGTTTTCACCCTTATTGTAGTTCTTGCTAAATTACCAAGTTTCCACAGAAGGAGACTTTTTGGAATCAATGAGTAATTTTTGAATGGTTTTCTTCTCATGAACCACTTTTTCGTTTTGCTCCAATGCTACTGCTTGCTACTAATCGTTTTTTGTAAATGATTAATTTCACACCAAGTAAATCTTGTGGTTGCAACACGTTCCCAATTTATTCAAAGCACGTAATACATGAAGGTAGCATTGTCATGTAGTAGATTTGCTTATTTTCTTGGAGGATTTGAGTGCTTTCGTCTGATGTTTGAACCGTACTTGTTGCCGATACTTTTAGAGGAAGATGAATTAGAACCACTACTGTTGGAGCTGCTACCAGTAGATCCTTGTTTTTTACCCTTATTATTGTTGGCACCAGAATTATTCTTTCCATTTGGTCTTCGATTTGAATTTCCTTGTGGTCTTGAAGTGGATCCACTTCGATTATTGGCACCACCTCCTGATTTTTGAGATGAAGTATTCTTCTTCGAACCATTTCTCTTGAACAACTCCATTCCAGATTTCACATCTCCAATGGCACTATTAGTGGAATGAGCTGTAGAAAGTTTGGAGATGAGAGAAGTTTTTCTGACATTGGAAACGACCTTTTTCGCATTGGTAGCTACTCTTCGAATGTTCTTCATGATGGCTGCTCGATTCTTGACAGCACTTGTGGCTTTGGTTAATGTCGTTTTCAATGATTTGAAATTTTTTGGAAGTTTTGCAACATTCAAAAGACCAATGGATTTGGCAACACCATGAAGACCAGTAACACCAGCAACCAAGTTAATACTTCTCTTAACAGCAAGATATGCTATTATTTCAACATATCAATTTTCAAACATGTCAGTAATCATTTTCACATGACAAAAAAAACATGAAAACTCGCTTCCATCTTTCACAATTACTTACGCTTGGACTTGACCACAGGAGCAATCTTCTTGGCCACCTTTGCCTCAATAGGTCCCAACTTTTTTTCAGAAAAATTCGAAACTCCTGTTCCCACCGTCGATGCCGCTTTGGCCGCCCTTTCGAATCCCCACTTTTGCAACTTTTGTGAAGCCGTTCCTGAAAGCCATTTTCCAGCTTTTGAAATTGAAGTCGAATAAGTTCCAATTCCATCGACAAAGTTCATGACATTACTGGCAACTCCAATGGCAGGTAAAATGAAGAGAGTTTTTGCTTCTTGGTTGTTGGATGAACTTTCCAAAGAGACAGAAGGAGGTTCTTGTTTTTTGACAGCATTCAAATAGGAAAGTGAAGAAACCATTAATTCAGCACTTGGATTGGCAGCTTTGCTTGTCAAGTCACGAGTGACTGCTAAAAGTTGAGTTTTGAATTCTTGTTGGGCTTGAGTGAGGCCTGAGTTTGGAATGGCGTCATGGATCTATTGAGAAGCGTTTTCAAATGTACGTTTAATATTCATTGACATTTGGCATGTAAACGATTTATATAAATAGAACACCAATAACAATACCTTTTTCACTTCATTCGCAAATTGCAACAAACTTTCAGCAATTTCTGTAGCCATCTTACTTGAAACAGCATCATGAACTTGAGTGGCAATTTCTTTTGTTGTGGAATCCAATCGAACTTGTTCTGGTTGTTGTGAAGAAGACGAAGACGAGGTTTCTTCTTGTTGAGAGCTTGTCATTGGAGTACTTTCCTCTTGAGATTTTGATGAAGAAGAGGATGTAGAAGAGGTGGATGAAGAGCGTTTACCGGCACCGTTCACATTTACATTGACAATTAACTCGACTCCACCATCACGACGATGACGAACAGAGACATCTCGAGCCAAAGTGAAAGTCAAGAAAAGGGATAACAAGAGAAGTAGTTGAATGAGAGTGGACACCTTGAAGAGGCGCAGAGTCCCACCTGGTGTTGTTTTCTTGGAATTTATCATGATGGCGAAACGAGTGTTGTTGACACCAACTGACAGTTGTCACTTTTTTTTTTGAGATGGGTCAGACTTTACCTTTCCTCGCGCACTGGACTATTTCCAGCAAGGTGTACCATCATCTTTCGGTTCCTTCCATTGTGGTACCCTTGTTCCTTCAAGATCAACCTATGAGAGATCTCGTCATGAATTGAAGTTCACACCAGGAGGACCAAACATCTTCTCAATAAAATATATCAAATAAAAGAGAATAGAAATAATACAATACTTTCATTGATTCATTATTAAACGAATGATCGATCTACGTCGTCAACAATGAGATTTTTTTTTTTTTTTAAGAAGGAAAGTTTATTACAATAGAGTTGTATTGACAACATGTTTGTAGTGAAACTCCTGCCAATTGGCAGCATTAGATAATGTTTGTACACCTTGATAGTTGTTGATTCCATGTGTAGTGATTGTGAAGCCATTCATTTCTGTTATTCCATATAGTGTTGTTGCATTTTGCAATTTCTTTGATGATGATTTTGTGGATGTTTGGGTTAATTCGAATAGACTCTGAATTGGTTAATCCAGTAGCGTATTGAAGATTAGTAAAGCATATTTGTAAAATTTTCTTCTTAGTCTCTTCACCTAGTTCGTTTTGCTTGATAATTTTTGCTATGTTGTTTTTACATTTGTTCCTTGTAGTCTTGTGATGAGGGCAATGCAAGAAGATGTGTTCAGCTGTTTCTTTTGCACCGCAGATGCATTTGATATCCGTATTGGTGATTTTGTTGATCCTAGAAAGGGTGCTCATGGCATTATATCGTATTCTTGTCATTTGATTGATTGTTCTGAAGCCTATTCCAATAGAGGGATGTATGTTGATGAATTTGTTTTGAA